AACGGTCTCGTGGATGGTTCCATCTGCAGGAGGTCGTTCCAACTGGGTCAGGATCCTCAAAACAAGAGCCCCCTGTTCTCTGTCTCCGACTCCGGGGCACCGACGTCCCCCCCCGGGCCGGCCAAGAAAAGGCCGGTGCGCGTGCGTGCCCTGCCTGGGAGCTTCAGCAGGGAAGTCGTGCTGAAGCTTGTCCCAGTCCGGTTGATATCCTGTCCAACAAGTCCAACGGAGCTCGCAAACCGTCCAATCACTCGTGACACGTCGACGGTTTCCGCCCGCCCCGCCCAGGCGGGCCCCGCCGTCCGCCGGGACCAGGTCCGACATCGGTCCAAGCAGCGGTCAAACCGGCTCCGACGAGCCCGAAGCACGTCGTCCGTTCCGAAGAAACCCGCACTTCGTCGTGTCGCGGCTTTCGATGCTTCGATCGATTGGGCGCGCTTTTGGCTCGCGCGCGACACGACTCAAACGCGCGCGGAGGAACGAGAGACGGGCGGGGCGGTGGGAGGTTCGACCTAACACTCTCAGACCTCGAGACATGAGATCCAGACCAGAACCACTTGGGACCCACGACTATGGGTGACTATCGAAAATCGGGGGTGTCTATCATCCGAGGTGCTGGTGCTTCTGGTGCTTCCCAATGGTTCCGGTGAGCCCCATCTGAGCTGAAGAGAAGAGGGAAGACTCCGAAAACACCGATCTTGGGAAGAATCGAAAGGGGTCAGTTTAATATGGTTGTACACGACCAGGGGGGGTATCCCATCTCAGCGCAAAAGCAAATCTGTGCCGAAGACATCTGACCTGCCTGAGGTCGTTCTTGACCTCTAAGAGTTGATAAGATTTTGGACATTGGATCTCCAATTCATGTCTTCATGGGAACATGGCAACCCTGAACCCCCGGCATGCCCCTCTGCGAGTATACAGTATACTGTATACTGTATGTCTTTTGTATGAAGGCACTGAACATCTCAGTTTCGATCCTCGTGGGGAGTGATCCCCCGACCCCGACTTGGACCATGTTCATCACTCCAGCTGCGAGCTGCGAGATGAGATTTGGTCTTTTAGCTTGAAGAATCAGAAGCTGGTGGTTCAACATCCTGTCACCTTGGACGCTACTAGGTGGAGGCCATCGCAAGTGGGCTGAAGGCCATCGCTGGCAGCAAGGACGCTTTTGGTCCGAGGCTTTCCCCAAAGTGCCGGTCCGACATCCGACGCTCCGGTCCCCGCGGCGCTTCCGTCCGTCCTGAAGTCCAGCCCTCAACGCTGACATGCGCTCGCGTGATCATCCCTTTGAAACATCCCCGGTCTGAGCTATTGGTCGGCCTCAGCAGGAACGAAGGCCTTCGCAAGAACCGTGGGCGAAAGGTCGCGATCGTGGGCGTTCAGCGGTCTCAAGTCTCAAGACCCGTCTCGATCGGCAACGAGGCGGGACGGCAGGTGGGACGGCGATCGCGCTCGGACGATGAATGAACTGGAAGAAGAACATGGTCAGCCACTGAGTCTAACTCCAAGTTCTGAGCATCCAAACACGTGAACCAAGAACCGTTCTTGTGAAAAAAGACGGCATGGAAAGGCAGGGAAGCACCTGCCAGTCTGCCAGGGTCTTGAAACCAAGTGCAGTTCACTTGTGCTTTTCTCCCATCGCCCAGCGCAGGCGATGGGATCGAAAGAATTCGACTGTGGGGAAGGCGGCTGCTCATCGGAACCGACACAACGGTTCACATGTGTCGAGTAACTCGAGAAAGGTTTCGGATTGAAGAAGCCGCAAGAAGTCTTTAACGACAAAGATAGGCTTGACGTACAAACAGCAGGTCGGTGCACAAACAGCAGGTCTTGGGTACATGAACATGGTTCTTCTGATCTTCTCTCTTGGGATGAACATGTTTCCACTTCCTTGGTGTTTATAGACAAGACACAGCCAGCTGTCGCTTTCCTTCTTTTGCCTCTTTGACGCCAGACCAACAGTTGGAGCAGTAACTGTATCATCATACGTAGACCCCTACGATCAAAACCCGGAGATCCTTAGAATTTATCTCTCATTCTCCCGTGGAAGGAGGGGAGCTGCCCTCAGATTTGTGGCTGCTTTCGGGGATGTGCTTTCAACCTTAACTGCTCTCGAAGAACACCCGTTCACCAAGCGCACCAAGCGTCTGGGCGCAACCTGCAAGAGCAAAGAAAGCGTCGTTCGTAAAGCCGCCATCCATCATCTTTTCGACATTGTAGCCCAGCTTCTCCTCGTGGACGCATGTCTATCGTGGACGCTAGCATCGGTTCTCTGCAAGAGATTGAAGACCTTCGCCCAAAAAGATCCAAACATCACCAGCCCTCACCGTTTTTTCACTGCAAGAGCACTCTTACTTCATGGGATGTATGGCCTAACCAGCAGCTCATTCTGGCGGCTTTCTGGCAACGTCATTTTGGCACCCCAACCCCCCAGCCCTCTCCTGCAGCAAGATAGAGACCATCTCTGCTGTTGCATATTGGGCAGCATAGTTTACAAGGAAGATCCCGACAGGATAGGACACTCCATCGTTGCTGAGGTTTTTGCGCCTCAATCCCGAAGCCCAGCGAGATCGAAATCTTTGATCAATGCAAACGATCTGACAACCATCCATCTTTGGATGCTGGGCACCTATATATGGTGCTTCTGATGTTGGACGTTCATAGTAAGTGCAAGTTTGTGTGTGTGTGCGTGTCCTTACTTTCCTCTACAATGGCCACATGCTGTTGCTCTTGACAAAGCTCGTCTCTGCAATGGTGTAGCTGTGTTTTTGTGCAATCCACATAATGTTTGAAAGGGTGTGAGTTATTTGCATGTAAACATCATACTCCAACATCTGCATGAGATCCTGTCCTTCAAAGCATGCCCTGTGTGCATGGGTGACCTGCCTGTGGGCCACCCCAAAAGGGACTTTGCCAAGACACTCAGCTTCAGGAATGCCATCTCTAAAGCACAGCTGTGCCGCACTGAGCGGCACAAGTGCAAGTAGGAGCGGAGAAATCATGCGGGAAAGTCCGTGGCTAAATGGCCCAAAGTTTAAATATTGGTGAGCCACTGAGCCTGTCATTGCTGCGATGGTCAGGCCACCGAGTGCCACGAAGGGACACATCAAACAACCCACTGGCAGCGTACTGTGCACTTGAAAGATAAAAACTATAGGAGCTCAAGGGCTTCTACTCGAAAAATCAGATGATCGCAGTAAATGATTTAGCACTTGAAAGCTCAGACCTCGTTTCAACCAATGACCTCGTAAACGGGACTCTCACACCAAGAATGGCCCTCTGTGGCCAAGGTCTCCACACAGCCAAGATCTTGAACCGAAGAAAAAATGCCCCAACTATTTGTGACCTACGTGGATTTGGCAAAAACCATACATAGCTACTCGCATGTCTTTTAGTGTATATCAGTATGTATGTTGATCTTGCTTCACAAATACACCGAAACACTGAAACACCTGGTGGGTGGAAAGTCTCCAATTCCCGGATCCGGCCGTGGTCTCAACTCCGCCGGGGGCACTGATCGATGGTATAATCAACTGGTTTTTAGCGCATGGCACCACTTCCATGGCGCAGTAAGGAATGAATTGCTCGCCATGTCTTAGGTCCATCACCTGTCCTAACACATCATCGAATCATCAGAAATTCTCTCTCGTGGCACGCGCGCGGTCACCGCGGTCGCAGTTCCCTTGGGGCGCCAGACCCCAGCAGGCAGGCATCATTCTGGCCTCGTGGGGATGTTCGATCCTTGAGATTGGGGAATGGAAGCATGGTCCCAGACATGACTAGACACGACTAATGGATGTTACATTGACCGCTCTTCAGCCACCCCAAGGCAATGTAAATATATGTGTTAATCCCATGGAGTGTTTGGGATTCACATCCAACTCCTGGATGACAGCTCTGCTGGGATGGTCGAGATGGAGTTTCTGCGCGACAGGTTCTCTCTGCCAACGCGGCTTCTGATGCCCGATGTCCAAAACCCGGGATGGAGGGCTGAAAGCCTTGTAGGAGGTGGTGGCTGCCTGGCTGCCTGAGCCTGTCATAGGACCTCCATGAACAGAACAGAAGTGTTCAGGGCGCGACAGGCTCTGAATCAAAGCGTTGACGCTTTCCCCCCTGAACACGACAGGCTCTGCTAGATAGTTGTTGCAACGCCTGGCATGTCCTGGCAGAAGGACGTCTTAGGGGATGTTTAGCTTGCCAGAGCAAAACCACTTAGTGAGGGCACGGGTTGCCGGAACCTGCTCACCACCTCCAGGTTCCCTGTCGAATTTAGGGGACATACACACTGAAACAGAGAAGAAACTACAAGTGCGTCATGGAGGTCTCCATGGTCTACATTGATTGCCCCCCAAATCAATGAACCTTGCTCTTCCCCCCTGCCAACCCTGTGGCACCTGCCAACCGCCACCGCCAGCGGCCCTCGCGCCCTGGCCCTGGCGAGTTGGGGAGTCGGACCGTTGGTCCGAACCGCCAAAAACACACAGGGCAAAAACACGTGTCTTCCTTCATTTTTCTGCTGGCTTCCTTCATTTTCTAGACAGAAAATGGATGGTGGCTTCATGTTCGGTTCGGCCAGGTGGACCGGCCAGGTGGACCGGCTGGCTGAGAACGACACATCCAAAAGCACCAATTCTCCGCCCAACGCAGGACCGGGTGCCAGTAGGCTGGACATGATCGTGTCCTGAAGTTGCCCAAGACAAGAACCTCTCCTTTCTGGTGTGTCCAGGGACATGGGAGAGATGAATGACATTCTGTGGATCTAGTGAAGTGACTGTCCTCATGTCCCAAGTCAAAAGAACCATGTAAAAACTCTGCACCATCTCCCGATCTCGGACCCCCTCTCCTCCTAAAAAAGAAAAACATGAGGCTTCATCCCGGTGTGTCCACGGCCAACTGCTGTGCCTCAAAACTGCACTCGGCTCAGGTTCGGCAGCTCGGCGCGGTGGAGAGCGCCCGGCGCTGGCGTGGAATCGGCCGACAGGCGGCCGACAGGCGTCGGCCTAGGCAGGTGACAGATCGTCCTTGGAGCTCTGTCTTTGGATCTCCATCATCTTCATCAAAGAGTCCAGCTTATGGTCCATCTTCCTGACCAAACTTCACATGGGCCGAAACTGAAACTCATGGCTTTTGAACGGAAGAAGGAAAACGGGTGGGTCGCTTCGAAGCGGAGGTCGAACCTTCTTTGCTTCGTTGGGTGCGGCCCTTCGTCCGTGAGAATCCTTCGGTCTCGGCCCAGGTCCGTCTCCGTCGACGCGTTGCGTCTCGGTGTTTCTTCGTGTCGCTTTGTGTTTGATCGTTTTGTCCCAGCTTCTGTAGATGACTCTTGACATTCTGCACATCCCTTTTCAATTTCCTCACGTCCTTCTTGGAATCGGTGGCCAGATCCTGCAGAAGGTCACGAGTCGGGCGGTGTCCCTTTTGGCTATGCAGTGAGGCACCCCCGAAGACACAGAGCTGGTCCGAAATGGTCCGCCCATATCCATCTGATGCGTTCCGAACCGGAAATCGAACCGGATCGATCAAGTAGAACGCAATACGAACGAAGGATCTCCCATGGGCTTTGAACTGTTGTGCTGCAGATGGCTGCAGAACTTGAACCCCTTGAACTTGACCATCTCTGGATCTCTCTGGCCAAAGAAAGGCGTAGTTCTACCAACGCCTGTCGATCCACGGATGTTCCTCTGGGTGGTTTGATCGACGAAGCCCTGATGGCACCTGGGTCCAAGGTGACGCCTGTCGATCCAAGCCAAAGGCACACACCTGCTCCTGAGGCCCCACTTTCGCGACTGTCCTCCTTATCACAACAACCCTATCGAATCCTATAGACAACATAGAGCACCATCTCTCTCCAGCCCACCAGGGAGGGCACCCGACCCATGACTTCCGCGACCGCCGCCAAGCGGTGCGCCCATCCTGGATGCAAAGCTTCAGGTCGGTGCGCATGCTTCGGAGCTCGTAACTGGGAGGTGATGGACGGACCAAGACCCAAATCAAGCCTCAGATTTGGAGGCGCGGAGTGCAAACCATGGCGAGATGGTGGTCTGAATGATCCCTGCATATATACTTCATATATAGTCACTGTTGATGGTTTATTAGTATAGGACACACTGCAACACGACCGTTTGCGAAACATGCATCCATACTACTTCTGACTGGGTGGTAGGGAATGATTTTAATGGAATGACACCATGCAACAGTATTGGCCCAGTACTTAGTTTCCCGGTTCCCCATGAAGCACCAAACAGTGGAGTTTGGAGGGAAAACCGCGTCGCCCAATCAGCGACCACGCAGACTGGTCAAATTTTCTTGATCCCACCCAACCATGGTGGGATGCTCCCCCTCATGGTGAGGTGACGATCGTCACCTGGTCCAAACTCGTTATATCGCTTGTTTTGCAGGTCTTCACGGGTTTCTGAAAGTCAAAACTCTGGGCACCACCTCTAAAGTAGTCTACAATAACCATCACACAAACTGATTGTGAGCAGTTCGGCCGCCTTCTCCCGCCACCCAACACACCCCGTTGCTGCTTTGCAACACTCCGACCCACGGTGCAGCACGCCAGCAGGGTCCTGGACTCGTTCGTCTCGTTCGTTTCTCGTTTCTCTTCACCGTGGGGAGCAGCGCACCGAAAAACACACACCTGTTGGTGTGATTCCTTTCTAGTGACTATAGTGTTCTTTTCCACACTCCTGTTGGTCCTGTTTGATCCTTTCGTTGGGTATGATTCTTTACAACTATAACGCTTTTCTGATGTGGTGTGGTCCGTCGATAAAGTGGCTAAGTGGTCCAAAAGAAAACATGTGGTCCAGAATTCAAAGTTGTTCGGCTGTCCAATAAAGGCACCAAGAAATGGATCGATGGAAACAACATTCGGGGACAGGAAAAATTGGAGCTTTTGTATGAAGGGAGTCTTTTACTTATAGAGCTTGGTTGAACTTCAATATCTCTTCCCACCGTCACTTGTCTCTTCCCCTCAATACCCCTTGGACATTCTCACATGCCTTGCTTCCAAGGCGAGTCAAGGCAGTTCAAAACATCACCCAGCCACCCCCGTCGCCGTTGGCGTGGTCGATCACCCGTCCTTCGGCTGCAAGGCGCGCCGCACCCGATGCCAGCACCGAGCCGTGCGCCACCAGCGCCGTAGCCGGCCGCTGAAGCCCGGCGCAGTCGCCGGCGCCGGGCCCGGTGCCCCAGTGGCGCAGGGGGGCTCGCGCTCGTTGCCGAAGCAACCGAGGAAGGCCACGCGGTTGAGGTATTGTAAACCCTCGGGGCGAAAGAAGAGGGAAGCGCAGAGCACGAAGAGCGACAAAGAGAAGCCACCAATCAGGAAGATGGGTGCGAAAAGGAGGATCAAAAGCTTGTAGAAGAGATTGGCTTTGAAGAAGAGCTGGAAGTTCTGAGCCACCAGGAATTTCCCAGACTCGCCCAGAGCCAGGTGTAGGGGACTTACCAGTACCCGGATCCAACACTCAGGGCGACTGCTCTCATCACAACTGCGCCATGGCTGTAGCCAGCCGGCCAGGATGAACCAGGGCCTGTCCTGATGCTTCAGAAGCATCGCTGCGCGCGCCCGCGTGAAGAGCTGGGGTGCTTGGTCTTGGTAAAGCTCGTAGTTTTGCCCGAGCACTCCAATCAAGAGGTTCATCAGCAGGATGGTGATTCCAATACCCGTGAGGTAAAACACCACCTGCGTGTGTATCTGCAAGGAACTTCTGGGTGCCCAAATCATCTCAGAAATGGGTCTGTCTTTGGATTTCTTTCAAGAACTGTGTGGAACATGAAAAGCCCATGAAAGACTCCTGAGCCACTCGAAAAAAATAACCGTTTGGAACTCTCGAAGCTACGTGGTGCAAGGCACCTGGATGTAGACATATTGCTCCAAGCCCAGCTCCTGTGGCGTCGGATCCACTGGTTCCCACACCGAGCCCGACACGGAGCCCGAGCGGTGAAAGGTGGTATCCTGACCTTGGAACTCAAAGAGGTCGAAATCGCCGAACATCCCCAGCCGCAAGGTCTGCGTGATCGAGGAATACACGGGAAAGGGATCCGTGCCCCGGGCATTCAGCACGTAGTACGCGTGGGCCGAGGCGGTCAAGCACAAGAGGGCCACCAGGAAGAAGGCGAAGGTGTCGCGCAGCGCAAACATGATCGGCAGAAAGCGGGGACCCAGCCAGCGCTCGCCGCGCATGGCGAAGAGCAAGCGAAGCCAACTGAGGGAGCACAGAAGCGCCATGGAGGGACCACAGGGCAGTTCCTCCAATGCTTGGGCGCCCATGCGTGGAACGAGCGCCAGAACACCCGCACCCACGTAGATGATGTCCGGCAAGAGGTTCAGTGAAAGCTCCCGCCACATCACGGGCAGAATTTGGATGGCTTCTTTGGCGGTTGAAGCAGCTGCAGCCCACAAGGCCCATCTGGACCTGAGGGTGGAAAGGGGAGGTAGTCTGGTCTCTGCGGAAAAGCTGGAGATCACTGGAGTCCGGTAGCGTGGGTCGGATGTAGTCGGGTGTGTTTGTGTGCATTCCGACCTCCCATTAGTCAACATCTCACAAACCACTTCGAAGACCCAAGAAATAGAATGGAAGAGCCCTCACAAGCTGCTCAAGTGGTTCTTCCAAATGAAACCCTTCCCGCACGCTCTCCAGAGGGCCAGTGTGTGAAGCAGGAACAGCCACCCTGGTGAAAGCTTCAAGCCCTCAATGTCCCAAATCTTTCTCACCCAAATCTGTCCACTTCTCCTTCAAAGCACCTCTTCACTCCCTTTTCAACCGTCCAAGAAACCCGGTGAAGTTGTGACACTCATAGGACACCACGCACAAAAGCAGTGCATTGGTCACACTCAGCAGGATCTCAAGCAGGGTCGATGCACGATGCTGGAGCCATGCTGCCTCCACGATTGACTCGACTGTATCGCTCGCCAAGGTCTCCTCCGAAGCGAAAACGGGTGGAAAGGCAGCAAGAAGGAGAGAGTTTCAGAGAAGGGCGAATCCTTTTGAGGACCCGAGCTTGTCACATCAAATCCTGTGGTGCGTGCTTACTTGAGACCTTTTTGCCAAGCTATTGGCTCATGATAAAGTTTGATCAATAGATTTGCTTTTGGCACTGATCCCAACTGAGAAAGAGAGCAAACAGTCGAGAATGCTTTGGCACTGATCCCAACTGAGAAAGAGAGCAAACAGTCGAGAATGCCGCTGCCGCTCTTGAGCATACCCATTACCCCGCTCCTCATTGGCCGTTTGCGCGACCGCTTCTAGAACTCGTCGGTTGCATGCGACATCCCCACTGATAGGCAAGACTTGAAGCTTGGCTTGAACTGGTGGGGCGCGAAGCAAGTTCTGCTTTTCCAAGCTAACATAGAACTTGCTCACGGCAAAGCACTTCTCCTCCAAAACAGGTCGTGCAAAATACATGACAAGCGAGTCTAAAGCGCCCTGTCGGGCTCTAGGCACTCAACGACCCCATCCAAGGTGCCTCACAGCACTCCCAAGACGTGTGTTGGGCAGCTTTGACCTCCGTCCTCCACAGGCGGAGCGCAAACACGCGGAGCCAGAATGGGGCGAAGCTTTTCGCGCAGTCTTGCTTCCAGCCATGTGGTTTCCTTGGTGCCACCATCTTCTCCAAGTAGACCAGAAGATCTGCAGCCCAACTGGGTTTTGGACTTTCGGTTGGCCTCCCAAGTGCAACATCAAACACCAGCTATTCCAAACAGGCAAAATCTTTAAATCCTCGTAACTCGTCTGTGAACAACTTGAAATCTGAAAGGGTTGAAAGACCTAGAACGCATTCTGTGTCCTGCTTCTGTGTCCCCTGTGTCTGCTTCAATAGAATCCACAAAAACTCACTGTCTTTGGTGGAAAAAGCCACCAGTCTTGTGAAGACAGGTTTTTGAAGGAACATGCATTCCTGTCTCTCGAGGGTCAGCATTTCGATCGTCTGGTTTTCGCTTTATGGCTGGCTGGACTTGTAAAGTCAACTCTGTCGAACCCGGACTTCAGCCCGATGGCCCCGGACTTCGACTCCAAGAACCGGCTAAGAGTTCGGCCTCCTCATCGAAGAGTTCGGCATCCTGCATCAAATCTTCCACTCCTTTGGTGAACTTCTCCCCCTCCCCCAAGAGCAAGCACGGGAGCAAGGTCTCCTCAGGGAGAGGCGGCGTCAGGGGTGCGTCAGGCGCGTCGAATGACATATGAAACATGTGTCTTTTCCTTTGCTGAGCGTGGTGGAAAAGCTCCAGTCACTAGTCACTATGTCCAGCAGGAATAGAACACAAAAATGCAACCAAGGTGTCATTCATTGTCATTCCATCTTTTATCCAGCCGAGATGCTTGTGCTTTCTCTGGGTAGATTAAGCCTTCAATGAACCCCCAAGTGTCCTGGCAAACTCCACTGACGATGCACTCGGTGATGACATCCACATCCTGGCGCTCCCACGAACCCACGCACCCACGAACCTCCGAACGGGACCTCACCGAATCCTCACCCACCGAATCCTCACCGAATCCTCACCCCCGTCACCGACGGTACCGAACCCATCGACGGTTCTTCCGGTGTCTGGCGCGGAGGTTGTCCACGCTACTAGGGTGGTACTACTGGTGTCATCGAGGACCTGAAGCTCTCTGTTCGAATCATTTTCTGAAAAATGGAAAAGGCCCAAACAGGCAAAGTGAGCCTGCAAGTTCCCTGCGTTGATCCCTTTTCACGACAAGATCATGCAAGTTCTTCACAAGTTCTTCACCCCCTGCCTCCGTCCCCGAGACAACCAAACTCCAACACCGAAGTCCTTGGCCAAGAAATCCATGGCGGTGTCATCCTCATCCTCCATCTCCGCTTCGGGGTTGGCTCCTGCTCGTAGCAGCTCCTTCACAGCCTCCACGGCCTTCTGCCGATCCTCCGGGTTGCTCAAGGCTTTGGCACAGAGCTGCAGATACTCATTCTGATCCTCCTGCCAAACGTGTGGCGTTCGGACGCAAACCTCGCCAACGCGTGTGGTGACCTCCGAGTGAATCCTTCAACCTGATCGGGTGAACAACAAACATCAGTACAAACATTGACATCATTGACCAACTCCTAGCCTTTCAAAGGATCAAGTTCAGTCAAGAAGTCACCAAGCCTTTGAACCACCTCCAACTGGCCAAACCGAAAACGCGGCAGCCTCTCCTGAGTTCCATTGACTTCCAGGTCCTGGCTGGGTTCTCCCCCACCAACTCCAAACCGTGAAAAGGTTGTTTGCGGTTGGACGGGGCGGTCACCGGTCGAAAAGAAAAGCTTGCTGAAAATGGTCAAGCTCTGCAGTGCTGGTGTGTCGGATCTGAGGATCATGATGGATCATGATGGGTCATGAAGGGTCATGATGGACAAGTGTGCGAGGGTTGATGAAAGGTCTTCACGCTTCAACCATCGCACCCAAGTCTTAGTCTAAACAAGTCGTCACTACCTTTGGGTCAGGAGTCACTTACGGAGAATTCTTTCGCCCCTGACCCTTGACAGCTCCGCGGCCAGGCCACCTGTAGCCTCCATAGAGCTGACAGGGCAGTCCGCATACCCCAAAACCGTCCTGCACAATCTCTTCGAGCTGCACCGTGCTGGCACCACGAAGCTTCTCCTTGGCACGGGGAGGTTGTGAGCGCTTTTTGGTTCCAGGATCGCAGTGTTTTCGTTTGTTCCTTCGTAAAAAAGAAGGAGGTGCCCAAACGAAATCATCCCTCACCGGTGTCCTCGCCTTCATTTCTTCCACCTGGATCGCTCTGCCTCTCACCAGCGCCTGTCACGCTCTCTGGCCGTCTTAGCTCGGGTCCGCTGGGGTCTCTAGCTCCACGGTGATCTCACCTCCCAAGGAAGTCCTGACGTCGTTGAAAGCTGAGACGCATGGGGAGACATGCCGCAGACACATCGGTCGCACCGTCGCTGCGCGACCAAGGACCTGGAAAGTGAGTCAAGAGGTACGGGCCTGCTTCTTGAAAGACTGTCATGAGGTGTGTTCTAGAGCTCTTTGGAGGGTGGACGGATATTGTCATTGCACATGCCATCGCTAGATTGACTGAAAACTGTTTTGGATCATTCAAAGGGTGAGGACGTTTGGAAGATGCACCCGATAGTTTCAAAGGATGAGTATCTGTTGGTTTCAGCTCTGTGACCACAAGCTGAGGCTGACATTATGGGATGACCAGCCAGAATGGTTCTCATCTCCTGAACAAAAAGCATGGCATGTCACAAAGCAACAAACAGACATAACAGTTCTTCAACGGTCTCTTCCGGCCATCGTGGAATCCCTCCGAAATACATCCAATCATGGAGCCAAGAACCAGAGCCAATGATAAATTCGACTGCAGGAGATTCTCATGCGGACTGGTGAACAATGGTGCACGTCTTTACCAGGTTCATGTCCATTCTACACGCAGATGCTAGACAGTAATTATACTATGTTTCCCCACATCTTAGTGTGGGGTTCTTCTTTTCTATGTCTCATCCGCCTCCCGCCGCCCGCTTCCCGCCGCCTCCCTCCACACCGAGACAACAACACACACAGAGACAACACACACACAGAGATCACACACACAGAGATCACACACACCGAGACAACACACACAGAGATCATCCTCCCTCCACACCGAGACAACACGTACAGAGACCACACACCGAGACAACACACACAGAGAGGTCCGTCCCTCCATTGTGATTAGAGTATTCACTTGTTTGTTGACGTGCAGAATTCGTGGCAGGCGCAGCACTTTGTGAACCTCCACCTGCAGAATTCGTGGCAGGCGCAGCACTTTGTGACAACACACACCGAGACGTCACCAGAATTCGTGGCAGGCGCAGCACTTTGTGAATCTCCATGCGCAGATTTCGTGGCAGGCGCAGCACTTTGTGAACCTCCATGCGCAGATTTCGTGGCAAGCGCGGCGCTTTGTGAAGCTCGAGGTGCAGATTTCGTGCCAGGCACAGCAGTTTGTGAACCTCCATGCGCAGATTTGGTGGCAGGCACAGCACTTTGTGAACCTGCATGCGCAGATTTCGTGGCAGGCACAGCGCTTTGTGAACCTCCATGTGTAGATTTCCTGGCAGGCGCAGCGCTCATCTCACACCACTCATCTTGCACCACTCTTCTCACACCACTCATCTTGCACCACCCATCACACACCACTCATCACACACCTCACATCTCACACCGCTCATCACACACCACTCATCACACACCACTCATCTCACACCACTCATCTTACACTACTCATCACACACTACTCATCTTACCCCACTCATCTTACACCACTCATCACACACCACTCATCACACACCACTCACCAAATTCCACTCTTCTTACACCACTCATCACACACCACTCATCACAC